AGGGAAGGATTTAAAATCCAGCGAGTACTTCAAATCCTCTAGGTCTGCTCTGCTTTAAATGGAGAGTTTAAATTCAAAGTTGAAACAAAGTAAACCTGTCTTTAAACTCACTATATTAAGGCACGGGTTCCTTACTGCTGCACTGGTTTTCCTCTCCCCAAATAGCATGCACTTTTGCTGTTTTCTGTGTTTTCTTTTCCCCTTCTGATTCCCCAGGAACTTTCTTGATGCCAGCATCTTATCTTGTCATCGCTGTGCTTTTTGCCCACCCCCCTTGTTTTATCAGTTATACGGTGCATACCCAGTTCTCAGATTAATTTTTCTCTATATGTTATCATTTAGTTTAACATTTAGCCGACACTAAGTATAAAAATTTGCCAATATTTCAACAGAGACCCAAAATAATTTAGCTGAGTTTAGTTAGCAAGTTCCTATCTTATTACACATCGATTTCCTCCAGCCTGCCAGAACAACAAACGCCTGTTCTGAGAGATGCTCACTCATCTGCTGATGTACAAATCACACTAATGATGCTGAAATGAGCACTTCAAAAGCAAAAGCACTCCCCTCAGTGTCAAACCCTTACCCTCGTCGCTCGGCAGTCAGACTGCTCCAGTTATGTACTGAAAATAAAGCAGACAGACTTGCTTTTAGTTATTGGAAGAGGCAGGTTCACATTCTGCTCAACCTCAGAATTACGCCAGCCCAACCAGCTGTATGGCTGACAGAATACGCAGCATGGCTTGTGTTGGAAGGGACCCTAAAGCTCATGCAATTGCAACCCCCTACCATGGGCAGGGACACCTTCCACTAGACCAGGTTGCTCAAAAAGTGTTCATTTTGGACACAAACTGTGCTTTCCACATAAATATACTCTTCATGAGCAAAACAAGCTAATTAGGTAGAGGTGCATCTTTTGGTAATTACTGTGTTTCTACTGCAGGCTTCTTCCAGCAAGACTCAGTCACAAATCACACTTCCCTACAGAGCTGACGGAGAAGGAGGACCTAACAAAAGCACTTCAGCTACATCTGTGCTGACAAGAAGGCAGAGAAAGCAAAATCTTGCCCAAACATGAGCATCCTTTAACAGATGCTGGATACCTCTCCTTCATTAAGGCAAACAAAAACAAGCTGCAGCTTAAGCACAGCACAGGCAGTGAAACAGGATTTACATCACATGAACAGGCTGCCTCGGTGAGGGATGTCTCTGAAGGGGAAAAACCAAACCAAAACACAAACTCAGGCTGGTCTCTATCCTCATGCAATCTCTGTTCTCCCGCTGAGCCTGTGTGCAGGGCAGCACGCAGCGCCAACAGCGACATGCAATGCCACAGGCTCCGTTTCTGGAGGCCATAAAGCTGTCTCCACATGTGACTGTCACCAGAGCAACAACCTCCCCTCACTAGACTGCACTGTGCACACCTCAGCCGAGCCTCGGAGTATCCTCTAGACACAGCGAGGTTTCGTACAGCCCTGCGTTGTGACTGGTGCTCCCTGGAGAACAAAGCCAGCCTGAGATGCATTTACAAAACAAATCAGAGCGGATGCAGAAATCAGGCTGAGGTGCAGATAACAACAGCCCTCTGACACTGCTCCCTCTCAACAAGCATCATTCCCCACCTTCTGCCCAAACTCTGACCAGGCACCTTCTCAACTCAAAAGCAGCACAGTTTTAACTGGATTTTTAACTCCCTAAGCTGGTGGTGGGTTTTCAGAGCTGGAAAAGTGGCACTTGCACAGATTTGACAAGGTCCAGTACATCCGTTTGTACATACTTACACTAAAAAGTGCATTACCAGAACGGATGCACTGAACACATCTTCCTTCCACTGAGCATCTGAGCTTCATGAGTTCTTGCTGTTTTCTCAGATGTTAAATAAAATGGATTAACTGGAAATTAGCCTTATGCAACCTAATGAGTTAAACACCAATTGTTATCTTTAACATGCTGATTCATTACATCTAACAAAGCTTGTGATCGACTAATTATCCTCAGCTCCACTTGCAGATGCTGAGGTTGATTTGCACTCAGCAAATTACTACAGAATGAAGCGAAACAGCACCCAAACCTTTTCTGGTGCGTCCTCTGTGCAAGATAACATCTGTACCTCCTGATCCATCCCTCTGCTCCTCCCTCCTCCAGATCACCGCCTACCCAGCAGAAAGTTCTCTTCTCTGGGGTCTCTTTTGGAAGGACACAAACCAGAGTGTTTTACCTTCCTGGACTGGTGGTTCTTCCCTCCTGTAGTCTATCACCAAGGGACCAAGGGCACGGACAGTTCTCCACCTCACGAGACATCCAGTTAAAGAATCTCTCAAATATGCCAGTTTTCCAAACTATTTAAGCAGCCCCCAGCTGTATATTCTTCCCACTGTAAGATCTGAAAAGTTTCAGGACTTCTGGGGTTTTTGCTGCTTGGTTGTTGGGAGGCTTTTCTACCATATTTGATGAAGAACTAGTGACAAACATATTCTCTTGCATAACATTTCCATGCTTATTTTTGCATTACACACATTAATCTCCACTTGGTAATATGAAACAGATGTCTTGCCACTACAGCATCAGTGATCCACACCCACTGCACACAGGTACAACTGCTGCAAAACACCCAATTCCATCTCAAGGCACAAGTGCTAGAAATGACTTCCCCAAAGTAGCGATTTCACCGTGTATTAGACTCAGAGAGCCCAGTTTCATTTAAGGAGGATTCCAGTCATTTCAGCTTTGAGGCACTGGAAGGTAAAGAACAGCATATCTCCTCAGGCACAGGGCACTTCTGCCACCTCTGAATGGAGGGACAGGGACTGTGTGCAGGGGCAGGAGGGGACAAGCTGGACATGCCACCTCACACCCTGCCTTTAACACAGGCACCACTGACAGCTGATACTGAGCTTCAGCACACGGGGATCCTGATTGCCCACTCAAACATACAAAAGGTGAACATGATGTTTAATTCTAGAAACCAAGACTGAGCCCCTAAACAGGAAGCTGCAGACACCCAGAACCTGCAGGTTTGGTGTCCAGAAAGCCAAGACATCTGTGGGACTGGGAGAGGACTCTTAAACAAGGGTATTTTCTATTTCCAAGGTTGGAGATTTCTGCTATCTTTTGCACCCAGCCAGAGTAAGCTGATGCTGCGGCTGGCTGTGTGCCCCTGCTCCCACACAGCTGGGTCTCTGCACCCCCTGCCAGAGCCCCATGTGCTGTCCCCCCCCACCCAGGGAGGCAGGGTCTGCTGCAGACCAGAACGGGCTCACTCCCTACAAGGGGAGGGGTTGACAGACAGACAGGGGACAATTCCAGGGGGAAAACAGTACTCCTCAGATGAAGGTGGTCCTGAAAATATGAGTCCCCACAGACACACACAGGCAGAGGGCCCAAGCCAGGAGCAGGCTCAGGCCGAGAGCTGTCTCCCCATAAGCCCTGCAGGCTACGCCTCAAAGCAATACAACTCTGCCATAAATATCTCAGATTAATTCTGATCCCAGCATCAAATCCACTTAAGAGACGTAAAAGCCTCCTAGTGCCCAGAGCCGCCTGCCCAAAGAGGGCTCTGCAAATGAATCTTGGGCTGGAGAAGAGAAATATTATCAGGCACAGCAACCCATTTGTACAATTCTTAGTAACGTCGTTTGTAGGAGACAAATGGGACGAGATAGCCGAGTTGACATCTTGTATTAGAAGCACAGCCTCAAAAAACCCTCCAGTACTGGACATGGAGGCACGGGGTAGGATCTGTGTAAATACTCCATACTTTCTGGAAAGAGCTCTTTCTCCTTAAGGGACTGATTGGTAAATGACACCGTATGCTCTCCAGTCTGTTTCAGGAGCTGCTTGCTCAGTTTTATAGACATTTCTGCCCAGACACCTGGAAGCAGGAGCCGGCAAAGGGGCCCTGAGGGACCAGCCACCCTTCCCGCATGTCCCCCACCTCCCAGAAGCGCGCTTAGCAGGGCGAGCTCCGAGCACCCGGGCTCGGGCTCCGGCGGCGGCAGCACCACTTCCACCGGACACAGGCCCCCGAAGGCGCCGCTCCCCGCAGGTCCCTGCCGCTCCCACCGGCGCCCTGAGGAGGAGGAAGGAGTTCCTGGGGCCGCGGGAGCCCCTGCTCGGTACCCCCCGACGGGAGACCCGAACGGGGGGTGTCCCACACACACGCACGCATACAGCCAGTGCGGGACGGGAGCGGCGCTCGGCTGGGACTGCGAGAGGAAACCGCCGCGTAGAGCCGGGGTTTGGGCTCGGAGCAGAGGGAACGCGAGTTCACGGGTTACAAACAGCCCGTTGCGCTGTACCGGCGCTCCAGCGCGCTGCTCGCCGCACGCCCCCCGAGCAGAACCAAGTCCGAAACACTTTCCTGTCAGTACAAACACGTCGGGAAGGCTCCGCGACCGCAGTCGCTGCTGCCCGAGAGCGCCTGTGAAGCAGCGCCCGGTGAACCGCGCAGACCAGCGGCTGAACGAGCGGCGGCCGGAGCGATCGCGGCCCGCGGTGACCCGCCTGTACACACCGGTCCCCCCGGGCAGCCCTGTGAGCACAGCCGGGGGGCACCGTGGGCCTCACCCCCCGCAGCTGCCCGGGATCAGGCGGCGGAGAAAGGGCAGAGCTCGCCCCGCTCCTCCCGGCCCCGTTACTGCCGCTGACCGGGATCCCCAAAAAGCCGCGGGCACGGCGGCAGGAGAAGCCCCCCAGGGCAGGCGTGCTCTCCGCGGGGTCCCGGCTAGAGAATCGCTGAGGCACCAGCACCCTGATAGGCTCAAAACAAGGACCGAGGCCACCCCTTCGCCCTGCACCGCTTAGCGGAGATGGACCCCCCCCCCTCCGAACCGGGCAGAGCGGAGCCCGCTCCCGAGCGCACATCGCCAGGAGTCCCGCGGCTTCCCAATGCTCATACGCGAGGCAGCTTTGGGATGCCAGGAGACGACAAAGGAGGAAGGAAAGCCCCACTATGGAAACCCCTCCTGGAAAAGGGGGTAAATCCCCACAGCAGCGCTTACTTGTCGTGCCTAGCGTGCTCCGGGATGGCGCCGAGCGGCCCCGGGAGCGCGGGGTGGCCGCCCTGCTGCAGCCTGCATGTGGCTAGGTGCCGGTGATGCTCGTCCTGGAGACAGGCGTTTTCGTGGTACAACTTGGCCACTTGCTGCTCCAGCTCATCTATCCTCCGCTTCTGCTTCTCCAGCAGCTCCTGCTGTGTCTCAATGATCTTGTTCAGCTCCTTCAGGTACTCCGCCGCCTTACTGGGGTTCTCGGCGGGGCTTTCCATGGCCTCCCCACACCTCTCACCCTGCGGGAGGCAGGCGGGGGGCGCAGGTGCCGGCCAGCCCGCTCCGCTGGGAACTTGGGCGAGAGGGAAGAAATAAATAACCCGCCGGAAACCAGCCCCCCTGCGAGCTCCGCGCTTCCCCTCCTAGTGCAGTGCCTGCCTGGGCAGGCGGAGGAGCGGCGCGCCGCGGCTCCCGGCCCCTGCCGCCATTGCTGATGCTCGGCTCCCCGCCGCCGAGCGAGGGCAGAGCCGCCGCCGGAGCCGCCCGGAGCCCCGGTGCTGCCGCCGCCGCCGCTGGCGCACGGGCGCTGCCCTGTCCCGCCCCGCCGGAGCCGCCGTCTGGCAGCGCCCCGCCGAGCTCGCAGCCGGGCATGGGAGCCCGCCGCCGGCCAGGGCTGCTCCTGCGCCGGGGCCGCTCGCCCGCCGAGCCCAGGGATGCGCTTTAAGTAGCCGCTGCCACCACCGGGGGGCTGAGCGGACTCCGCGGAGCGGCACATCCCATCCCATCTCATCCCATCCCCATGGGCCCTTCCGCGGGCGCCGTGGGCGCCGCCGGCCCCGGAGAGGAGCGGGGGTAGCTCGGCCGGGCCCCGGGGTGGCTGTGCCCGGGGATGCCGAGAGAGCCAGGGGAGCAGCGTGGTGTGAGCGGGACCCGCCGTCCCCGGAGTGGCACCGCTGCCCCGGGGCTGGGGCTCTCCCGCTGCCTGCCGGGGTCTGGCCGAGCACCCGCGGCTCGGGTGGCTGGACCCTGCCTCTCCTGTCAGCAGCCTGGCGGACACCCAGAACCTCCCTGGGTGAAACGCTGCTTCCGATAAGGCTGCGTCAAGCCAAGGAAAGTATCTGAGGTGTGGGTCCTGTGTCACCCCCACTGAACGGGGAATGCCGCTGGAAATCGGGAATAAGAGAGGGAAACAGAGGGAGATACTGCAGGAAGGACATGGGAAGGTGAAGATGTGTTTTTCCCCATTCTTCCTCTCAATGTCTCCTTCCCCCATCACCCCCCTTGCTTTTCTACCTCTTCACCTTTAAACTGAGCAAGTTTTCAATTAGTGCTGTTCTCTGGAAGCAGCCGTTTCTGCTGTCAGTAAAACACAAGCCCTTTCTCCTCGCGTTGACTCTGACTCCATGGTGCATGGCTTCGGAGCACTGCCTGAGCAGAGCCAGGCCAAGGGGCTGGCAGGGGCTATGGGGAGGTTGGGATCACCCCATCTGCCTGTGGGCTGAAGCTTTGGGAGCAGAGCTCCAAAGTGGAGAGTGCATATCCCAACTGCCCCCCTCTGGCTCTTCCTGCTTGCTTGTCAGTATGGGAGGAAGTGGCACATGGAGAGGATCAGGCCTGGAAGCACCAAGATTCATCTGACAGTTTCATGTGCATTCTGATTTTAGGTAGAAACACGTTACTGACAAAACAGCCACTTTGGTTGTGGACATACGTTCAACAAAAGGCTGTTGGGGTTCTCCACGTGACCAAAGCACGGAAGGCCCATTTCCAGTCCTAGTGGGGATCACAAACTCACAGGGAAGTCTTTAGCTGCTCCTTGAAGAGGTCAAGCTCCTTTTCATAGAATCCCAGACTGGTTTGGGCTGAAGGAACCTTAAAACTCATCCAGTTCCAACCCCCTGCCGCAGGCAGGGACTCCTTCTGCTAGAGCAGCTTGCTCCAAGCTCTGTCCAACCTGGCCTTGAACATTTCCAGTATCTTGATGAGTATTTGCTGTTTGTGGGAAGAGCTGCTCATCACAGGATGCCCCAGGGGAGCCGCACAGTGGTGCGTGAGGCAGCTGCATGTTGGTCCGGGCTGGAATCGATCAATAAAGCAAGTGAACTTGCTGCTTGTGTGCAAAATTAAACACAAGGTGAGACACTCGGAGCTCATTAACCTATCTGCAGACACTAGAAGCTTTTGAAGCATTTCTGGGAGAGGACAGCTGCAGTGGAGCAGCAGCAGGTCGTACACACAACCAGCATCTGGTCCAAAACCATGCTTTTAGGTAGACGTTACCAGCACTGCTGAAGAGGTGTGTGCCCATGCAAATGTGATTCCGTCTTTCTTTTACAGGTTACACGGACATGCCTCAGTTCTGAAGTGGAGCAGCTGGACCTCATTCATCTGGTGGCTTACAGTCCTGTTGGACAAGCCAACTGAGGAACAACCACATGCAGAGGGGCTAGGGGCTCTCTTGTGCCTGGTTGGCTTTGGAGGGTATAGTAACAAGAGAATGAACTTGACCTGCTAGTGAGAACCTCAGCTGCTTGTGCTTTCCCATAGATGACATGGAGAACATCAAACCTCTTCCCAGGAAACCTTGAATTAGACTGATAAATATAGTAAACCCTCAGGGGTGCCCTCGTGTTGGCTCCCTGGCCCGTGTTACTGGTGGGGTTTGTGACACCCAGCATGTGGAAGGGACGAATGCTCTGTGTCTGAGGGGATTGTTTGTGAGCCTCGAAAGGCCTGTGTGCTTCATCATGCTCTATACATTAACAAGAAGAGGTAAACTTAGAAGATAAGCACATTCATGGCATCCATAATATATGCAGTCTCCTGTGAAGTCAGACTGTAAAAGCAGATCCAGATTGTTCAGGTTTGCTCTGTTAGAAAATTAAGTGACACCAAGCCTAACCTTTTTAGATATGACAATCACCAAAACAGCATCCTTCTTGCTTGTAACACCTTACCTCAGCCTGCCCATTCTTATTAGCTGGGCAGCAAATGGTTAGTTCTTGCCTGGGAAAGAGGATTTCAATACAAAAGGAAATGCTGCTCATTCAGTAGCAGGACTGTAGCAGGATTCTCCTACTTATTTATTATTAGCAGTACATAATTATCCCATCAGCTTTGGAGGAAGCTCAGGATGGGCTTCATTCGGGCCTGTGTCAAGCTGTGGTGTTTTCTGGCAGGTCCATACCCTGCCAAGTGTCATGTGTGAACGCAGGGGGATGCTTTCTGCTGCCTGGCCAAAGTGATGGGTGTTCAGAGACATCTCCCTGGCTCCCAGGACTCCACATGCTGTTAGATGCCCAACAGAGATCAGGCACGTTGCCTGCTTCTGAAAATCTGACTCTTGTGCTCACTACAGGCTTGGCTAACTGTGATGTTCTGTCAGGTTTTATTGTGCTGCATGAAACCTACCAGCACACGATCCTGTTCCAGAAGTGGTCTATGTGGCCAGTAACACTGCGAGTGAGCAAACAGTTCCAGTGATATTTTCAAAGTAAGATAAAACCACGGAAAAACCTCTGATACATATTTTCCATGTAAAATTAATTAGGTCAGTGTAATGTAAAAACCCAAGAAACAGAAGTCACGCAGTGATTTGTGCTCAATCTTAACTCTGCCCTCCATCTCTCTCTTAAAGAATTCTCTTGGAAGCTGTTTATTTGTGGCTTGTGATGCTCTATTACTCCCACCCCCACCTTTAATTCTCTTCTTCTCTCCTTGGTTTTGCTGTATTGCATTTAGATATTAAGGAATTTTATCCTGCTGTTAGAGTTTATCCTGTTACTAGAGTTTATATGTAGGTAGGTATCAACCTCTTTCACCCTGTGTTTAAACTGAAACAGGGGAAGTTCAGGTTAGACATAAGGAATAAGTTCTTTACTGTGAGGGTGGTGAGGTGCTGGCACAGGGTGCTCAAAGATGCAGTAAATGCTCCATCTGTGGCAGTGTTCAAGGCCAGGTTGGACAGAGCCTTGGGTGACATGGTCTTGTGTGAGGCATCCCTGCCCATGGCAGGGGGGTTGGAACTGGATGATCTTAAGGTCCTTTCCAACTCAACCCATTCTATGATTCCGTGATTCTATGTCTTAGTGGCATGCTTTAGGGGTGGACTTGATGATCTTGATAAAGGTTGGACTTGATGATCTTAAAGGTCTTTTCCAACCTAACTGAGTCTATGATTCTATGTGCCTAACATATGTACACTCTTTCAGGTGACCTTATACATGACACACACGTTCCTTTTTCCGTAACTGCATTTGCGCACCCAGATGCCTGTTCATCGCCAGCGGGCTGTTGGGGAATCAACCTGAGGAGTACCAGAAACATCAGTGTTCTTTGCAGCCTGCTTGCTGCATGTGTTTGAGATTCCTTGGAGAAAGAAGGCAATGGAGATCCCAGAGCTGACCAGGGCCTCATGGGCCACCCTCTGCCCCAGGGACTGACACCTGAAGCCTGTTAGAAACTGTGGCTTGTTCTCTCCCTTCTCTGGGTCATGTATAACCCACTGTTAAAACCTGGCAGCTTATTTCTCTTACCAGTATATCTGATTTCTACTTAGAAACACAATACTTCCCTATACCTTTTCCAACCCAAAACCTTTCTTGCAATAAGATCTTGTAAAATATGATCGTAACTCCATTTAACTTTTTCTTGGATGAACTGCTCTGCATCCCTCAATCCCTCTTCTGAAAAGGGACAACCCTTGTCAGCTACAGGCTCAGCCCTGGAGTCCTCTGCTCTTCATTCAGGACTGTGAGCATCCTCTATGGTACCTGCATAGCTCTTACGGCATGACAACAATTAGGGGGTGGTTTTACACTGACCAGTTTACACACTGTTTGAAGTATCACATGTTCAACATGCCAAAATTACAGACCATATTTCAAGGCGTGTACACAAGGCTGGAGAAAGTTCAGCTTTAATTTTATGAGTGCTGATTCTGAGTGTACCAATCATTACTGTTTGCATGAATTGCCTTTCGATTTATGAAACAAATGATAAATTGGTTCTTCCAGGTTATTTAGCTTAATCTGGAAGTTTGCCTAGTTTTGTCCAGAGCTAATGCATCTGAGTACCCAATTTTAACCAAGACTTTGGCTCTAATGAGCATGTCACAAAAGTATTCCCTTTGTGGCTCTGTTAGTTTCTGTGAGTTTTCTCTCTGTATCTTGTATTAAGAAGCAATATTAGGGAATGTTAGTAGGCAAAAACGATTGTGTCATCTCCTGCAAACTCCTTGGGAAAGGACCATGTCTGTCAATAAAAAACACTGTTAATGTAAGGTACCAAGCTTCTCTAATATTAAAGTGGGATAAGTTACAAAGGAATGTTTTGTTTCTTTGGGAAAAGAGGAAAAATCAGTGATGGCCTTATAAAGGCAAGAGCATGCTGTTTAAAGAGATGGTTCCCCATTTCTCTTGGGGAGTATGATGTGGCAGTGGCACTAATGCAAAGCTTGCCGTAAGCTGGGGAACATGTGTGCTGGTACTCTGGGTTATGGCACACATGCTGAGTTCTTGGCAAGAGGGAGGAAGAACAATAAAACCATGCAGA